AAGTACTGTAGACGTCCTTCCAGGTGATTTTTGTGTCTTTTCACATTTTTATTTTTCTATTAAGCATTTTGTCAATATCATCAACATGTATCTGTGAGCTATTGGGAAGAGGATAGTATTTTATGATGTCTTCCTGTTCCCCAGCAGTTTATAATCGGGTATAGGGGTGAATACATAGTAACTGTTGAATGAAGGTCTCTAGACTTCTGGAAAGACATTACAGAAGAGATACCACTTGATCAGAAACTTGAAGAATTAGTAGCAACTGCCAAGCAGAAGATGGCTGTGTCTGAGCGACAAAGGAGAAACATAGTGGAGAGTTACAAACAACAAGTCATAGACTGTAGAAGGAGGTCCTGGCTAACAGATAAAAGTAGACACGTGAGTGTATGGTCTATCTTATCTCTATATAAGTCTAATATTGAGTGTATACTGTGAGTAATGGCAGAAATAGGGAGATGGCTGGACAGAAAGGCAAGGGCTAAATTGGAGAGTCCTTATATAGTGCATTTAAAAAAGGGAGAGAGAATAATAAAAAGAGTTCAACACAAGGCAGAGTCATTTGCAAATGTAGATGAGTAGAGAGTCAGGATCAAGTATTCATATTAGAGGTAATATCACTGTGACAGTATTGCGGAGATATGGGAGAGAAATAAGGTTAGATCATGACCATAAAGAGCTCTGAAAAGTGATGATGAAAGCCAGAACTTGGAGAGAGAGAGTGAGACTAGGGTAAAGTGCAGGGATGCCAGAGATGTTCAGGGCTTGTGTAGAAGACATGGTAGTAGATTAGATTAGAAGCGTGTGTGCACATTACACATGTGGGGGTGTGTTTAGGGAATGGGTGGGTCATGGATGAGAGGGGTAGAGGAATGTAAGTTGTTATTCCACTTCGGGCACAAAAGAGGTTGAGGGCTTGCTCCCAAAGGTGAGCATGAGATGTGCTCTTATAGCCCCTTGTCTGTTCTTGTCTCTTGGCCATAGCCAGTTCTTTCTGGTAGTGGAGGCATCCATTCAACAGTTATTGATTATTTATCAGTCCTTCCTCCAGACTACAAACTCCTAGGGGGCAGGTAGACATGCCCTCTTCATCCTGGGATACTATTCTCCTCCCATTAATCTTGCCAAGCTTTCCATGTTGAAGAAGCCTAGAAAATGATTGATGGACAAACAGCCATATTAGAAGACTGCTACAGAGATTCAAGTCTCAGGGAAAAAATATGTGTGTATGTGTATGTACGTGTGTGTGTATGTCATCTTTAAAATGTGCATGATTTTCAAAATTAAAATGTTAAATCATGATAAAACTTCAAGAATTTCTGCAAAAAAAATAAAAATGAAATGCCAAAAATAAATATTTGGAAGCGTCTCTAATCCAGTAAGTAGAAAAGATTCACTATGTATTTAATTGAATATGTGGGCCAGGAAAGTGTTGCCATAGCTCTCTTTTACCATGAAGAACATAAATAAATATGCTTTAAAATGGTTCCTGTTCTTTACCCCCTTCTACCTCCAAAGAGGTAAAGAATTTTAAATTGCAAATGCAAAAAAAAAATTATAGCTAAATGTACTATTTTCACACACGTAACTATGAGAGAGAAAACACTCAGAAACATGCCGGCATATACACAGAAGAATTTATAATAAAGTTGTGAGAAACCTTCTCATCTAGTGAGCTATTTCCTAGAAGAAAGCAATGGCTCCTGAAATTGCGCCCTGATGCCTTCCTTCAAAGATTTTAGGAATCTTTAAGCAGTGTATGTGTGTGCATATTCACCAAGAAAGAAAAAGAGAAATTGGTTTAAAAAAAAAAGTTGGTTCTAAGGATTAGGATTAATTCTTTGTTGTTTACTTTATAAATATGACTGGTTTTCATCTTCAGAGTATGTGACTGTTAAGTGTCTGTTTTGGGGGCCGACTCCTTTCCAGCTGTGGTCCAGAGTTTGCCTGCCATTAACCCAGTTGCTCCGTCACTGTCTCCATTTATAGTTGGGTTTGTGAAGTGTTTAAAATAGGAACTCTGGGTTTCTGCTGATCCTGAGTCATCAAAGAAAAGAAAAGCTTTATTCGTTCTTATATTCAATTCCATCCATTCAGACATTTTTTAAGATTGACATGGTTAACTAGAAACATCTAACCTTATATGTTTTTAGGTTCAGACTGAATCTTCTGTACTCTCTGAGTATCAGGATCTTACTGAGTATTTATTTTGGAGTTTTTCCATGATATATATTTTAACAAATTGCTTAATGTGGAAATAACATCTTCTATTGAGTACTATTGGGACCACCTTCCTAGAGAGGGAAATGCTGCTCCACCAAGACAAGAATTTTCATGTTACTTAAATTACAAAAGGAAATGGCAAGTTGGCTCCCTGAGAAACTATCCAAAAAAGGGGGGAAAAAGATAACTCTATTCAACAGTTTCTTGTAACTGAACAGAAAACTAAATCTAAAATTACAAAATCTCTGGGAAACTACAACTGAGACAAATCACAGATGATAGGAAAAGATAGCTGTCACAGTCAGAACCCAATAAAAACGATAGCACACAGAATCCAGCCCCTTCCAAGGAACTGATTTATAAATGTCCTGTGTATATAGGTCTGTTTGGGTATAGAGAAGCCATTAGGGACGAAATGATAATCTGGGGCTAGCAGAGTCAGAATTGTCATCCTGTACATTCAAGAGGACCAAAGGGCAGGGGAGCAGTTAATTGTGAACAGGAGAAGAGAGTGTTGTAGAAGAAAGACCCTAGAAAGGAGCAGTGACCCTCCTTGGCTGATAGCTGGGGACATCACAATCAGGTTGCTGGAAGAAATGTGACTCAAGAGTTTTTTAGAATCTGTCGACAGGGGCACTGTTGTCCTCTTTGGTTTAACACTAATGTGTTTTCTCCTTCTACCTGCTCAATGAAAACAACATCCCCTAATCACTGTGACAATAAAAGGCATTGCCACACATTGCTAATCTCTCCCTGGTCACTAGGTTATTCCCTCTCCAGCTGAGAACCACTATATGTTAATCAAATGTCCCTGGGCTTGTTTTAATCTTTATCTCTGGCTGAGATCACCATAAAGCTATCCTCAGATAGCCATATATCTAAATTGATCTACTTGGATATTATGGCGAGAATAGGATAGCTGTACCATCTCCAGCCCCACAGCCACATCCCAGGAGGGAAGGAGGAAAGGGGAAAACTAGGAAGGGATGATGCTATGTCAGGAGAGCTCTAGTTTTTCCAGAAATGCTTTGCATGCATCTTATTGGCCAGAGCTGCATCACATGGCAACTCCTGCCTGCAAAGTAATCTAGGGAAGTGTGAGCATATTGCTGCTCTTAATAAAACTGAAATCTTTTGAGTAATGAAGAAGGGGAGTGTGTATGTGAAAGCAGTTAGCAGTATATGCCCCCCTGCCGTGTATATCTCTCTAATGGCTTGGTGTGGATAAATGACACTAGAATAATACAAAGTCTTGTATTGTTGCTTCTTATACATATTGGAATTTATTTGGAAATTAATGAACAACCAAAATAGGGTGTAGTTATTCATTTTGCGTATTAATAAATCTAATCATATTAAGGATGAATAAATCTAATCATATTAAAGAAGAGCAGAATTAAAACATTCTGTTACTGGTGTGTGTACAGAACCCTAATACATCAGTGCCTCAGGATGAATGTTTGAATTTTCAGACCTTCTCTAAGCCTTTACTTATTCCCAGACTAACCAAGACCTCTCATAGTTAAGCAAAAGGTCTCTTAATCTTTGTGCTCTTAGGTTATTTTTAGGATATTCAGCAAGTATTTTTGAATTGAACAAATGAATGCAGCAGAAAGAGAAGATATAAAGGGAGGAGAAGGCTGCTTTTGTGTTATCTTTAGTAAATCACTCTTAACAGGAATCTTTGATCCTAAATTTAGTATTTCTTTGATTGTGCCAGGGATATATGTTTATTCCTCTCAAGACTCTTCATTTTTATTTTTGTTCCCTCTGTTTAGCCCTTCCTCTCTCTTTTTCTAGTATCGCACTTTATGGTGATCAAGTCTTTGGGCAGTTTGTTTGAGATCACATTGTTCAATTTATTTTTCTTGGCCTCTGATATTTCAGTATGTATTGTAAAAATTCATTACCAAGTCCACTGTCATAATTTTTCCCCCTCTATTTTTTAAAAAAGAGCTTTATCTCTTACATTTTGATTTGGGGTTATTCTTTGTATGTGGTGTAAAGTAAGGGTCCAGCTTAATTCTTTTGCATGCGGATGTCCAGTATTCCCAGCATCACTTACTGTAAAAACTATCCTTTCCCCATCAAATGATCTTGGCACCCATGTCAAAAATTAAGTGACCATGTATGTGAAGGTTCATTTCTGGGTTCTCTGTTCTATTTCATTGGTCTATGTTTGTCTTTATGCCAGTAGAACATTGTTTGCTTATTATAATTTTGTAATAAAGTTTGAAGTTGCATGTGGGAACTTCAATCTTCTTTTAAGGTTGTTTTGGCTATTCAGTCTCTTGAGATTCCATTTTTCATAAAAGTTCATTGGAATTTTGACAGGGATTACATTAAATCTGTACATTTACTATGGATAGTATTAATGTATTTATAATATTGTCTTTCAATCCATGAAGATTGTATGTCTTTCCATTTAGTTGTGTCTTCTTTAATTTATCAGCAGTGTTTTATACTTTTCAGCATGTAATTCTTTCACCTCTTTGGTTAAGCTTTTTTTTTTCCCCAAAGTTTTTTTTCTTTCTTTCTGATGTTATTATAAGTGGAATTGTTTCCTTAGTTTATTTTCTGGATTGCTCATTGCACAGAAGCACAACTGACTTTTGTGTTAGTCTGTGAACTCTTAGATGGCAGGAGTCATGCCTTCTTTATGTTTTGCATAGTTAATACAAAAATTTAGTAACATTTATTAATATTTGTTTATGTATATTTATTTTTCAATAGCAGTAATCTTTGATTTTTTTTTTTCTTTTTCTCTCCTGCTTTAGGGTACTACTAGTTCAACAGCTTCTCCTCCGGTCTCCACCCCTGTCACAGGACATAAAAGAATGGTCATACCAAACCAACCCCCTCTGACAGCAACTAAGAAGTCTACACTGAAGCCACAGCCTGCGCCCCAGGCTGGACCAATCCCTGTGGCTCCAATTGGAACACTAAAACCCCAACCTCAGCCTGTCCCAGCTTCTTACACTACAGCATCCACCCCTTCACGACCTACCTTCAATGTGCAGGTGAAGTCAGCCCAGCCCAGCTCTCACTACCTGGCTGCTCCTTCACCAGGACAATTTTATGGTTCAGGGCCAGGGGCCCAAGGTTATAACACTCAACCAGTTCCTATCTCCGGGCAAGGTCCCCCTCCTTCTACACGGGGAGGCATGGATTATGCATATGTTCCACCACCAGGACTTCAGCCTGAACCTGGGTATGGGTATGCTCCCAACCAAGGACGCTATTATGAACCCTATTGCCCAGTGGGGCCTGGCTATGGGGGCAAAAATGACTCTGATCCTTCCTATGGTCAACAAGGCCATCCAAATACCTGGAAGCGGGACCAAGGGTATACTCCTTCTGGCCCTGGGACCCAGAACCCTGCTGGGATGTATCCAGTTGCTGGTCCCAAGAAGACCTACATCACAGATCCTGTTCCAGCCCCGTGTGCACCACCACTGCAACCAAAGGTAGGGAACTTACTAACACAGTGCTGGGAATAAAAGGGTACCTATCTCGGCCTGCCTTCCCCAGAAAGCAGAGCCTAAGGCAGAAGTATTAATATATGTGCTACTTTCATTTCATTAAAAAGTACAGTCTGCAGGAAGTGCTTGGATAGAGGCAGGAAAATGGGGAGATCCTATTTGGGGATATGGGAAAGTGTTACCAATATGAATTCTGTTAAGTGTCAAGTACAACTAATTGTTCAGTTTTGAAGACCATATGAACCATAGCAGCTCAGGATAATCTCTTCCTTGGTAAAAGAGGAAAAATAATTTATTTTCTAGCTCTTGTCTCCTGTTCATCAAAGCCTTCTACCATAAGTTAGAGACTTCCTCACATTTAGATGTTGCATTTACTTGGTCACTAAATAGATTTGAAGCATCTAATGTCTTAGCAGGGGATAGGAAATCCCTAGGTGTGGAGGTGAGAGGTGATCAGGGCAACACAAGATGAACTGCTGTAAGATTGGGCTCTTGTGAATGTGGTCACAGCCCAGGCAAAGTTGCTGCCACAGTGCTAGGGAAGAACAAGTGGATACGGGCCCAGGAGACAGCTGAGGCTAAGGTAATACAGATACCTTGCCTAATTTTCTTTGGAAGGGGGCTTCAGTATAATGGCCCTTGTTTATATCAGTAATCCTCCAGGAAAAATATTACTCTCCAACCTTTAATTCTATTAGGCAACTTAAAAATTTCTTTGTGACAGTTCTCTTGTTTATTGTTTGATTAAATTTCAAGTATGTATGTGATAAGTCAACATGTTATCAACTTCATATGAATAGCCAATATACAATACTGTACACACCTACTCACCTACAGCTTGGATTTTCCTTGACTGCTAGAACCAACATGATGATGTTTCCTCTCACCATGAAAAGAGGAACCAAGGAGAGTTACTAGGAAGGAGTGAGATGGAAAAACAAATCTAGTTTCCAGCCACTGTGTTAAAACCAAGCCTTCCCTTCCCTTTAGTTAGAACCGTGAGAAATTAGAATTTGGAGAAGCCTGGATTAAATAGAAGTTCATTGGTAACCTGGGTGGATGGAAGTTTGTATCATATATATTTAACCCTTTACACATTTGAGATTGTCAATTTCGAGACATATCCATTTGCATTTTCAACATTACAATAAAAATTACTGAGGTCCTTACTCTTCCAGGGGGTTTATTCAATCACTTCCCACATGAAAGCATCAACTCTGGTGCAGATGGATTTTAGGTTCCTTAGGGGTTAGGAACCCTTCCTAGCAGGTGGGGCCTGAGGATAGCTAGAGGTATCCATCTATCTTATGAATGTGCATTACATGGAAGTGGACCAGCCATGATCATTTTCCAACATAAAGACTCCAAGCAAAAATGTTAAGTGTTTTTGAGACATTACTCTTGGACAGGCTTTCTTTTGAAAAATCTCTTTATGAAAAGAAATGTTATTGAGGGTTTTCTGTTTTATTTTTAAAAAAATATTGCCCAAAATAGCCAACCTGGACAGCCTTGCCCTTTGTTAACATTGCAGTATATTTGTTTTCATCCCTCCTGACCCTGAAACAACCTGTTTAGAAAAAAAATGGGGTTATTCAACTTTACTTCACTTTGGGACAACCACAGCAAATTCTCCTATAGAAGATTGAAAGTTTAGGTTGAGACAATGGTCTTCACTGTTTAAGTTCAAATAGCTATGCAATTTTGCCCTGTCTGAAGCAGCCTGACTGTAATAGGATTACTGGGTGATCATCCTAGGGGCAGGGGACTCAGGCCTGAGTTGTTTAATGATCCTATTACCCAACCTGGGGAAACAGACATGAGACAGAGCAAAAGTATGTCTAGGTGGAGAGAATGACCTGGTGAGAAGTACTGAACCCAAATTCAAGTTTCCTGTTTTCCCACCATGTCTCTGGGCAATCTGAAACCAATCCAGTGGAGTAGGAAAAAGAATCAGCGCCCACTGCACGACCTGGATCTAAACTAGTGTTTAGTTTAGATGCCCAGACACATCACTAGTATTTGGTCCTGTCTTCATCAACTCACTTGAGATGACAGAATGAATTTCTATTAACCACTCTCCAGAAAGCTTGAAACTTTATTTTCCTTATTGGAATAAAATAATATTCAGGGTGATATATTCTACTATTGAAGATTCTGGATATCAGTAGATTTCATATCATTAAAAAAAATTCTGAAATATTTGTTTTTCAACAGTGTCATGTGTTTTAACATCATACTGTACATTTAAAAAATGAAAATCAAATCATGTACTTTTTGCAGTGATTATTAAGGAGAGTGGTTAGAGGTTGATATTTAGCCATCTGTCTTTGTTTGGGGAAATGGGAAAGAGACTGATGAAGCTACAGATATTGTTTGTGTGTGTTGGGGGGCATTGGTGGATGAAGGGGGTGGTCTCTTTCACAGTTGATCTTTGAGCAGAACACTACTGTATTTAACTGCACCTGTGCACAGAGGACCCTATTGTCTCAAATAGTGACTTGGCTTGGCTAAGCAATGTAACTCTTGGCTTGAGAAATGAGCTCCTAATTCTAATCCCAGTTCCTCCCTTGACATTCTTCTTTCAGCTTGAGGAAAGCCTCTAGACCTTTTTATGTCACGCTCTCAGCCTCAGTAAAGTAGAATGTCATCTTCACTAATTAATTAATGATTGCAAAGGGCCTGGAAATTTCCAAGGGCTGAATAATTGCCAAGTGAGGACTTGGATTCAGCTTTTACACTGGCTTTCATTTATTTCCAATTTTTTTAGGCACTGATGGAAAATATACCTCTGTGCCTTAAAACAATTATCTTTTGTTTCTTTGAGAAGTTCTTAGAGATTTGGCATTTAACCCATTAAGGAAAAAGGTTTTTTAAAAATGAAAGAAATGAATCTCCTTTATGTTTGAGAAAAGCTGCTTTAATTTCTCCATGTCGTGGTATAATATAAAAGAGGAGATAGAAGAAAGGAAGGAGAAAATAGGACAGAAAAGGAAAAGAAAAAGAAAGGAAAAAAAGAATGAAGAAAGGAAGGAGAAGCCCAAATCAGAACCTGCAAGGCTTAGGGGATCGTGATTATATTTGTGTTTCCATAATGTGCTGAGCAATGAATTTGCATGCTACAGTAGACCATAATGTGTTTCCTGGACCATCTGAGCCGAGTTCCTTGAAAAATATTGTTATAAGCAAGTTTTAGTGTTTTTTTTTTTTTTTTTAAAAAANGTTTGGTCTCCTTGCTGTCCAAGGAACTTTCAAGAGTCTTCTCTAGCACCATAGTTTGAAAACATCAATTCTTTGGCACGCAGCATAATATGAAGAGTGCTGGTACTATGCATCTCGGGAAAGCTGTGGAGGCCCACCTAGTGTGGGGGTTAGGTTACATTCTAAAATCACCTGGTAAAATTTGCCTGGAAAATCTTTCAGGATGGGGAGAACTTGGAGATCAGCAAACCACCTTTTGATAAATCCAACACAAAGTTTTGTGTTGGTTTATTCAGAGTCAGAACAGATTACTACTGTTTATTTAGTGTTTGAAACTGGGGGATATTTAATGTTTCAGAGAGGAGAATGAAGGTAACAAACTGCTGGGGTCAGTTTTGACAGGCCCCCAAGACCTGGGAATTGTTGAGATTAAGAAAATATCTGAGAATGTTGATATAGTAGCATTTCAGATATTCAAATAATATCAAAATATTTAAATTTCCTTTCATTGTGGAAAAGAGAAGGTGGTATATAGATTGGGTGTCTGGCAGAAAATTGGTGGCATTTGGGAGAAAGCTTTAGGGTAATCCTCTTACTAAATATCACACAATTCCTGGATCAGAGAAACAAAGAAGAGATAGTTAGGATATGGAGAGGGATGGATACAGATACAGGCTTCAGGTCAGATAATTACTAGCTCTTCACCAAAGCTAGTAATACTTGGATTTGCATAAAGCTGAGGATGGAGGAGATTGCTTGTAGAGGACAGTGACTATAATATTAGTAATTCCTCTTTGCACAGGGCTTTTCCATTTCCAAAATGCTTTGTGGATCTCACAGAAAAATGTGAGTGATAAGCACAGATAGAGGTGTTTGTCTCTCTTTTACTGATGGGGATTGAAAAGCTCAGTAACGAGAGTCACTCACCTAAGTTCATATGCCAAATTCATAGGTGAGCCACAATTCCAAATTGGGTTTTTGGAAGGCTGTCCTCTTGCTTTCTCCACCTGGTAAACTGTGGATGTTGTTTTGGTGTTTGGGTGCAACGAGTGCCACATCTGCATCACCAGCCATTGTACGTGGCTCTGCTATGGCCTTCGTGATGGGCAGACACGTCAGTGGCTCTGACAGTCATGGTGCTGTGTCATGAGATTAACAGCTGGAGGGGAAGCACCAGTTGAACCCCTGATGGGCACCCAGCCTTGGCATTGTGGGGCTCTGCTTCCTCTTCCTCGTCACCCATGTACACTTTATCCCAGTGTTTCTACCTTCACAATATCTCCATCCTGCTTCCTTATTGAGATCCCCCTTGCTACTGTCCTGGTTCAGTTATCCCGCCTGAGCCATTGAAATGGCCTCTTAATGGGTGTCTCTACCTCTAGTCAGAGACATGATTCAATCCCTGGGTCAGGAAGATCCCCTGGAGAAGGAAATGGCAACCCACTCCAGTATTCTTGCCTGGGGAATCCCATGGACAGAAGAGCCTGGCAGGCTACCACCCATGAGGTTGCAAAAGAGTCAGACAGGACTGAGCAACTGTGTGCATGCATGCATGCACTGCCTCTGGTCTGTCTCCACATTCATTCATTCTGTACCTGCTGCCAGATTAATATTTCTACTCTACAGCTCTGCGCTTGTCACTAACTGCCTTAAAAAAAAAAAAAACAAAAACTGTCAGAAGTTCCAAGCCAGTTATGAGATAAATTGAAACTCCAGCTTAGATTCCAGTTTTATCTCCCCCTTTAAGCATCCCAGCTTCCAGCTAAGAAATTACCTGCCTAGATAGT